TGTGTCTGTGTGTGTGTGTGTTGGTTTCCCTGCCCATGTTGACGGCGTCTGGCCTCTCCATTCAAGCTGTCGATCTGTGCCTCACAATCACTCACCTTCTTCGTCAAGGCCTCAGATGGCATCACAAACAGAAGCGACTCTTCCGGACTTTTGGGCTCTGGCATTCACTTTGTCTTCGGCTCGGCTCTTTACACCTGGAGGTCGCAAACTGGAACGAAGGCGATTGGGTGGCGAAGTCTAGGCTGAGGGCCCAGCCCTCCTTCTCCTCAATGTTTAGCTTGTTTTGGTTCAAGTCGTCCACACACATCTCCTTGTGCCTTGTGGGTTCAATGCATCTGCCCCTCATTCGCAGGTGGCGACTCTCAGCACGGTCAGCACTGAGGCACAGGACTTCATCTCATCTTCCTGCTCCATCTGCAAAGCTGTAATCCTTGGAGCCATTGGAGCCAATCAAGGTCTTTCTTGGTCGTGCGCAGAGTGTGCGCTACTGAGACGAGCTCTTGCCCTCCGATGCAAAAGGAAACGCTCCAAGGCGTACTGCAACGACCACGGGGCCAAACTCTTTCGCTCTGGTCGGCAGCTACGCACCGGAATCAGCAATCCCCTGACAAATAGTGACTAAATAGTGATGGACACCCGGGTACTGTCCACGGACAGCCACACAGTGTCTTCACATGCAGACTGCTGCAACACACCGAGCCACCCCAGTACTCACTACAGGGTGCTAAGCGTCGAACATCTCTTCGATAGCTGCCTTGACCTTCGTGAAGGAATCAATCCTGACGACAATTGTAATTGTGAGGTGCCGTGAGGGAGGGGTTCACGTGATGCTGCCATTGTCTGCCCAGCCTGCTCCGGAGTCCCATGGTGACCAACTTCTGAACACCCAACCTGAATGCGGATCGCGCATCGCAGAAAATCGAACGGTTGAGCGGCCAAGTAAACCCCACCTGCGACCCTGCTCCATCAGGAAGGCCTCAGGGTGAGCGTGCTTTGGTCCACAGACCACTCGCAGCAGGCTCACGCTGCGAAGTGTTGAGCTAAGCGTCACTGACTTTGCTGGCAGCTCGCTCTGCCCTCTTGGAATGCGCCGCCCTCAGAGTCGGGCAACAGGCACTAGCCATCCGGGGAATCATCGAAACTCTGCATCAAGTGATGGCCGCTCCGTGGATGCGGCTGTTGCAGGAAAGAAACTGTTCTCCCGAACAAGTCACGCGATTCCTCACCTCACCAGGCTCACGATTCCGGAGACGTCTGAGCCATCTAAGTTGCAGTTAAGGCATCCGCTGCGCAGGACCTGGCTCCACTGGTACAGCTGCAAAGCGAAGTCAAATGCTTGCTTCCGCATGTGTCCCACCTGGATGGTCTTGGACACTGCCGTCATCTCCTGCGTTCGGCTCTGCATGCCTGGCGGTTTCGCGCTTGCTTTCCATCTCACAGAGCAGTGGCAGAGCTTCCCACGCTCTTTGAATTTGTCATCGCTCCTGGCACATGCACCAAGCCCGAGACTCTGCTTCCTGGCACAGGACCAACACTGTCAATCTGTGGCGTCACGTCGTGCACCGATTCTCCACAGCAGCTTGAAACCTCAGCCCGGTGACCCTCCATCTGCGCAGCTTAAACCTCTGATCACTTCAGCCGAGCCAGGAACTTAACGTCTGCTGCAATGGATTTCGTCGTCGCCTTGATGTCCTGCTTTGATGATTCCTGAGGGCATCTGTGGCGGGACATAGCTGCAACACTACGGCACATGGAGCGAGAACGTAAGCGCGAGTCCAGTGTGGTTTCTGCATCAGACTTCTCCTGCGCACGTCGTCAGAACTGAGCGAACCAGCTAAGATTTCCGGTGACGGATGGTGACGGAGAAGAACGAAAAACTTTGGCTGAGAGTGAAGCATGGAAAACTATGCGGACTTACAACACAACGGAGGAATACAGGACAACGAAAGTAGCTTTCACAGCCGACGTCGGAAGACAGGTGGAGTGACTGGTGGAGTGCGTGTCAATGCAGGGCCCATGGGCCATGGCATGCCATGGCACAGCCTTCTGCGAACTGCGGAATCAGATCAGGAGAGTCAAGAGCGTACGAGTAATTAGGTCGGTACCACTACCCTCCTAGCAAGCAGTGTGCAGATTCTGGATGCAACCATTGCCAGGCCTACAGCAGCCCTCAAGACTACTACGTGCAGATGAGGACCGCTCCCCTCCATACCCCGCAAAGGCCCTGCAAGCGACTTCCTGCAATCAAGAACCTTTCATGTTACAAGCTGGGCTCACAGCATCAAAGCCCCTCCTGAGTCTTTGCCACAATCTGCTCTTCCAGCACTTTCTTTTCAGCTGTCTTCGCAGCAATAAGTGCCTGGTCTGCCAGGTAGGACAGCGAGATCGCTCGAGCTCCTTGCAGTCCTGTCGGACACACGGGCCTTGTAGGACTTGTCGTTTTCCTTCTCCTCGGTGATTTCCTTCTGCAAGTCTTCCTTAAAGAAGCTGACAGCAAGCAGACCACAAGCATCGACCTATCTCCAGATCGTACAACATCGTACAACTCGCCCGGGTCTGTGTGCGGCACGTTGAAATCATCCAGCATGGTCTTGAGGATGCCTACAATCGAACTAGACCTGATTCTGCGGAGTTGGTGCCTTCACTGCCCTCGCAGATGCCGGAAGTGCCCACTGCCCATCGGACTCCCAACCGAGCCATGCGAACCGGACTTGCACCCTCCAGCCGCTCCAGCCTGAGCACTGAGCGTCCCACGTACTGGTTGGATCCTCCCGCTGCAGAAAGGCACTCCCCTGTCAATGGCGAAGTCAGGGCTGAGGCGACTGAGGGCAACCATGGCGCCTTCTGGAGTTTGGAGGGATCTCTCATGAAGTCGTCCAGGGCCAACCTGTCTGCACCTCGATCCCGACGAGGTTTCGGCCCAGATCTTGCGATGATTCCACTGGCTTAGGCAGCAACGGGAAAGTCTGCTGTAGGAGAGGGCTCCGCGATTCTCCATCACCTAGACATGCTGTGTCTTCCTGGAGAGGAACATCCCAATTGTTTGCTTCACTTCAATGCAAGGCCACTTGCACAGGGCCATTGGCAAACTTACTGCTTGCAGGGAAACGCTGCAAAAACTGGCAGGCCGTGGAACCGAATCGGAGCCGCACCGATCGAAACGCAACGAAAACTGAACCGCGCAAGCTGCAAAGCGACCTCGAGACCCACCGTTGGGATGCATACCGCTGCGAAGAGCATGAACCACAGCTCAAGTGTTTGTTCGGGTTTGGGGATGAGGCAGTCGTATTCCTGCAGCGGGCATCACCAGCGGGAACTAATTTTGGGAGTGATGTGAGGGCATGAAGTCGCGAAGCGACGTGCGCCTTCTTTGCACCCCCTCTCAGACATGCCAAAATCATGGTCGAGCCATGTCGAGCCACTTCCACCAATTGCGCCTGCCTATTGATTTTTGTTGGTTGACAGGCACATGACACTGATCGCTTTCTCCAGCTTGCTCAATGCTTCACCGCTTGAGTCAGTCTACGCCTATGCATCGTCGAGGTCCAGCATACACTCAACCTTCCGTGAAGCTGTGCTTGGGTCAGCATGCAGCGTCCGGCTGCTGCACCAGAGCATCCGATTAAATCTTCGGGGATGCAAGATCGGGCTGATGTCTAGCGGATTGATTCCACAATCGTCCGCGGATGCGTTCCTTATCATGGCGAGCTGCATCCTGTAAATGGACCGACAGGGTCGATACAGCTTACATCACGTCTAGAAAGCATGAACTTGGAAGACAATACCTGTGGGATTCGAGATCGTGTATCGGCAGGCCAAAGCCTTACTCGAAAGGGGAGGTGCTTCCGACGTTGCCGGTCATGGATGGAGACATCCAGATGCGTGCTCCCGCGTCTGACCGTTGAGATGGGCGCAAATCATGGGCCAACTTACAACATACAACCTCCAAAAATCAAGGTCGTGCTCTCAGAACGAAGGTCTACTGAGACGGTTCCGGCCTGCCGCAAGCCATTTCCCATGGATTGCCTCGGATGCAGATCTGGGAATCTAGAATCTGGAAGGCTGTATGCACTTGTGTATGTGCCATTGCTCCAGATCTTAGTCAGCGACAGTTCACGAGGCGACATTTGCATCAAGGCAGATCCTCAGCTCCACAGCCACTATCGTAAACGCCATTCTGTGGAAGGCATTTGTCATGTCACCGGCTGAGTGACAGGCCAGTGGAAGCATATGCCTGCTGCATCTCGGCCGATGCACTGCCTTAGGTGCTCACAGTGCTATGCGGCTACTCCGTTAGCGTGAGTGCACCATGGCAACCGCACAGTTCACTGGGATTCACTGGGACTGCAGCTGTTCAGCGCAGTGATGGCTTGGGAGGCCTGGGAAGCGATGTATCGCAGGCGCCTGATACCACAGGCCCGTCGGCCGACCTGGTCGATTGAGGTTAGCAACGCCGCCTCGTCCTCCTTGAAAGCTTCCTCCCTGCACACTGCAGAAGCACTGCAACTCCGGATTTCATTTCATGGTGTCAGCAACCCGAGCTGCCAACTGTTGCTTGCGGATTGCGTCAGCTTTCTCCACAGTCTGCCGCGAGCATGGTTTGTCTATGGACCGTATCGACTTGTCGGGCACCGTAATTGGCTGCTACGGCGAATCCTTGTGTGGTGGTTCTTCTCGCGGCGCGGGTGAGACCAAGAAACTCTTTGTTCGAGTTCTCTCGCAGTCGCGGCCGGAAACCACCTCAATCCTGGGATTGCGGTCCATGTGTGAGACGACGCGGCTTCTGAGCGGAGCGTTTGCAAGTGAGGGAAAGCTGCGAGTATGCCTGAGAGATGCTCAGACTGCAGTTGCCGATCATGGCAGCCACCACTTGCATTTCAAGGTCCGGTCAAGAGATATTTCTGTTCTGAGAGCAACGCTGCTGCAGTTCTAAATACAATGCTTTGATTCTTGTCCGCCTGGACCAACGTAGTGAGGGAAACTTGCCAACAGCGGGAAAACGCGTTCTTGGACAGCTTGCGTGCACATCTGTGAAGTTCAATTGGCATGAGAGCCAAAGGCCGGCGTGCCGTGCTTTGGAATGCCAGGTTCGGGCTTGGGACTGTTCGGTTGAGGCTGTGTTGAAATACCTTGTTGAATCCAGCCTCGACTCAGTTCACGCACGCAGACGTTGCCCTATGGCATCCTCTGGTAGGGCGTCTGTTGGTCTTGGGAACATGCGACAGTCGCAGCTTGAATTTCAGCCCAGCCTCATACGTTCTCAGAACTTACTGTTAAAGACATAAAGCTGATGCTGCTCGAAAATTATCATCTCCGGCAGGCACATTTGCACAACATGTCGAAATCTACTTTGTTCCCAGTGACCGCAAACAGGATGAGGCAGCAGAACGTCTCGCTGATGAAGCCATTGGCGACCGGTTCGACTTGCCCACAGCACTGCAGCAAGCAATGACACGGACAGACACTGAAGTCTGGCGTGCAGGAAATCGTCTTGCATTGCATCATGTTGCATGACCGAAGAATGAAACCCAAACCATGCCGGCTAGTCGGCTTTGTTTTGGTTCAGCTCAACATTGGAGCTGCGGATCTGTGTTCCCAGCTGGTCGATTTTCGGCCCCAGCTCCTCAAAAGCAAAGCGACCGACCGCACGTGCGCGCTCGCTGTAAAGGGCGCTCGTCTTCCAGCCTCCACGAGCGCGTTCAGACTCGTCAGCTTCTCCCTCAGTCCATCACTCTGAGTTCAGAAAGCACGAGGCAAGTGCCGAACGGCCTGAGAGAGGGTCTGAGCAGCTGCCACCGCCGCACTCTTGTCATCGTTGTTCTGCTTGCACCAGCACTCCTTAAACGCAAATCGTGAAAGCTCGATCCGCTCATTACATCTTTTTTTGACTCAGCCGACTCAGCCATCGACAAACTTCTCTTTCAATTCCTCATCTGCCTTCTGATCCTCCTCTAACTTCTGTGTCATCGTCCTAGCAGAGCAAGTTGTCATGGCTGAACAAGAAAGCGATGCAAGCACAGTACAAAAGAAAATTGCCTGAAGAAGTGAGACGACCTTTGTGACTGGCTTTTCACCTTCCATCAAATCCAGCTGGAGCGCCGTCTCTGCATGGCCTGCAAGATTCGTTGCCCACTGCTCGTTGCTCTTAACGTCTGGACATGTCTGCATGGTGCAGTCTAGCGGCTCAGCGGCCATAGCAGCGTCAGCAGCAGGCTGAGCATCGCAAACGCTGAACCTCAAGTGCATGCCATCTTCAAGCAAAGACAACCCGTTGTGAGCTCCGTCTGCCTCTGTGTCAGCAGCTTCAATGTGGCTGAATGGCACCTCAATCAGGATGACTTGCTGATGCATTCCGTTCCAAGACGGAGCTTGGCGACACTTGGCCAATGTGCAGATTCAGGGCAAGGCACCGGAGCATCCCACGCCCCAGTGAAGGTGCCCGGCTGAGCAAAAAAGGATTCGGCCAAGCACCTTCAGCAAGCCGTGGAATCCAAGCACTGGCCTAGTGTGCTGTCATGCGGAGATCTGCGACACGGGTGTTAACTTGAATAGCTCCGCATGCCACAGCCCCTTTTATCTTTCCGCAAAGCCGTCGTTACACCCTCCTTTGGATGGGTCATATTGATGGCTGCGCTTCAGAAACATAAAGTGCGAATTTTTGCCAAAAGCTTCTCGCGCTCTTCCGCTTCCATCGGCACCTGTATGCCATGACCCACTTGGCATCACTTGGGCAAACAGACAGACAGACAGACAGACAGACAGATAGACAAACAGAGAGCGAGAGTCTGGGTGCGCTGCCGATTGCGTGATGGTCTCGCGCGCTTCCGATGAATTGCCAAGCAACCTTTCATGTAAGCGAATCTGACTGAGGGACCCTCCAAGGACTGCAAGGCGGCCAAGGCCAACACCGCAGTGCGCTGACTGCCCACGCTCGAGTCCTGGCTTTGCCATCCTCCAAGTTAGAGTCAGAAGAGATGCCATGAGATGTCCTAGTGATGCAAGCTGCAAGAAGCTCTCGAACCTTCACGAGCGCAACCAGAGCCGGCAACGGCTCAGCCAATCGAAGTTGCATCTGGCTGCAAAAAGAAGCATACAAGTCGAAAGAGGCGGAACAACTAAGAGTTGTTCAAGATGTCTCCACCGACTCCTTTGAACCCTGGACGCCTCGAGATCGGATCCGTAAACTTAGGCCAATCATTTTGCCATTGAGCCTCCATATCACCTCGCGCTGCCAGTTGGAAGATAGTTTGAGCCGCTGCGCAGCGGATCTCTTCGTCCTGGCCTCATGTCGTGTAGACTGCTTGGTAGGAAGCTCCGAAACCAGTACCGCTCAGAGCGCCGAAATGTGGAGTGCCCACCTTGTAGAAGCTGGACTATCTTGGGCACTTCACCTCACGCCGCAGACAATCTGGCAACATCGTCGGCAGCATGGTTTCATTGCAGTGCATCCAAGTAGCTGGACAGTGCGTCTTCCACCAGGGCCGTACCGAGGTCCTGGCGAAGCTGAGACACCCTGCACCTGCACTGCACCTGCACGCAGCGAAGGCACCGGCACAGCCTCGGCTGCTTCGCCTTGCGGGACCATTTCCACCGTGACGATGGCCGCCAGGGCCTCGCTGCCCCCAAAAGCCCTTCCTACAGCAGCTTACGCAGCTTACACATCATCTTACACTCCCTTACACACTGAGGAGTGGACTGTCAAGGCCTGGACAGGACAGGACTCCGGGACTCCGCCGCAGCACTGAACTTCTCGCACGGCGCCGCGCCTGCTCCAGGGTCTCCCTTGTGGTCGCACATAGCAGATCCTTGAGGACGGACAAGGCACCTGCCTTGTCAGTAAAACGGCAAGGAGTCAGGAGCGCTTGAGAGTCGCACAGCTCGGGCCTGCATGAGCCGAACTCTCAGCCCGGTTTGGCCTCGGGTGTCCGAGCACTCGGGATACTTTCAGATGCAAAATACCAAGCTGCGAGCAGCTCATCAGCGCGACAACTGCTGCTGCCTTGCGCGAGAGAGCTACTTTGGACCAGACTACCAGACTTGGTGCGGCTCACCTGCTCCACCCCTTCGGGGTCTGTCAGTTGAGCTACAACGCTGGACCTTCAGTGTTCAGAACAAGCATACAACAGCTTGTGGCAATGTTCAGTTCTTCTGCTCCAGGGCTGTGGCACCACAGTCGCAGAGTCGATTGCCGCACAAACTCTGGGCAGACGTTCCTCTCGCAAGAAATGTTCGAGGCCTCCACACCATGGTTTCAAGCGGTCCTCCAAAGAGTCTCCTTCCAGAAGTGCTGCGAGTAAGCGACAGAACCTTTGCAAAGGACGCGAAGGTCCAAGTGGCTTCTGGAGGCAGGTGCCCCGAAGCCTTCGTCTGCCAACGGCATCTTCTGTTGCCAGAGCACGTTCAATCCTTCGAAGGCAACACGGCATGTCTCGTAAGTTCAGCAGGACATCAGAGTTCGATTTGCATCCAAGTGTCACGTCCAGCACACCGCACTCGAACATCAATGTGCGGGACCTCGTCAACTGCTCACAATGCTGTCTCCAATCCCTTTTCCACGCCCAGCGTCTGCGGACATGTGTCATGGGAATTCAATGGCATGTCCCACCCTTTTGCGGGCGCCAGCGCCGTCAACGCATCCGTGGCGGCTTCCTGCGCTTCCGGAAGTCCTTGCACGGCCGGGGTAGGAAGACGAGCAGCAACAGACCATGGGTGGGAGCCTTTGAGGGACTTTCGAACATGTTCGGATTGGTTAGGAGTGTCAGAGTCCGTCCCTAGACGGAGCATTCGTGCCCCTCAGGCCCGGCCAGTCTCCTCCTAGAAGTCGAATGAGCTGCGGTATCGCTGCAGCGTTGATGATCACGGCACGACACCTTGGAAGTGGAGGAATGCATGATTTGTGGACGGATCTGGCCGAGGCCCCTGCGGTGGTGAAGTGGCCAAGATTGCCAAGGTGTTGGCTAATCGGATCTTTTCGAAAGGAAGCACCTCCACATCGTGAACAAGTGACCTACCAAATGGAGGGCCTCAAAGAAGCGCCAGCTTCTTCCTGTGTTGAAGCGTTTGTCGTGCGGACGAAGCAATCTTGTCGTCCTATGTGATGTGGCATCATGGCTTCCGATCCTCTGACTGAAGCTTTTGAGCGTGTCATGGGTCTGCGCTCTTACGAAGTCTCCTTGCACTCAGTGTCTTGCTCGAATGATGTCGAATGCTACTTGATCGATCGTCTGTTTGGTCTTGGTAAATGATGGAATTCAACACCTGCTGCTTGAAAGCAGGAGTTCAAAAAGCCGTGCTTGAGACCGTAAAACTACTACGGAAGCTTTAAAGCTCTTCGTTTCGTAGTGGTGCACTAACCTTGCTGTCACCCTTTCCGTTGAGCCTGGTCGCCAGGTCTGACCTTGGCAGCTTTCAGTACACGCGTAGCAACGGGCACAGTCTGGCAAATCGAGGGAGATTGGAAACGATGGGGAGGCCAGCATACGGAACAAGAACCTTACAGCTACCTTTGGACGACGAGTATCCTTCTCAACTCAAACGAAGCACACTTGGAGCCCGCACGAGCAGTGCAACAAGCATCTTTGCACCACCTCAGTTGTGTGAGTTGCTTACCGGCCAGACCTGGGCAACCTGTCTACAACTCTTCTTTGCAGCAATGCCTGGAACTGAATGATTCGAATTATTCGTATCAAAGCTGTATGCTCGGATCCCGACCCGATGCAATGATGCTGGAGCGGCCCTGGAGCAAGCCAAGACGCTCCAAAACGCAAGCGTGCCATACGTCCGGCCTCGGGGCTTTGGGCAAGCGCCTCCAGAGATCGAACTGCCTGCACCTGCAACAGAAAGCGATCAAAAACATTCACAATCATTCACGTTCCGATTCTCTGAGCTGCAGGCTCTCTGGTCAGGATGGGCACCAAGCTGGCACAATGCCCTGGAAACAGCCTTACATTCGCACAAACACCAGTCCCAGGCCTTTAATTTAAGGGTCCTGATGCTGGGGGCAAGACATCACCTTTGGATGCCAGGACTTTCGCGCTTCTTTCCATGCCCCATGCATGTACTGCAGTGGGCAGATGGGGCCAACAGCAAAATACACAATATGGGCATATGGGTACGATCATTTGGTTGGTGTCATAGGTTGCCGGTTGTTGCCCGGCCTTGAAACGGCTGGTGTGAATGGGGCGCATCAAAGTGGGGGCTGGGCCGATGGAGGATCATATGTTCGGCGATGCCAAGCATCGGAGCTCAGCTGGAGCAAAAAAGACCAAGGACATTGACAGGATGTGGATGCCAATGGGTGTATCGTCCGCCTCGCAAATCAATGCAGTGAACACCAACCAAGACACTGGCCGCACAGAGAGGGCGGGTACGATCGCACCAGCGAGTGGGAAGAGGGGGCAGAGAGGGCTGCACTAATACCGGCCAGGGAGGCCATCTTAACGTTTCTCCGCTCCTGTGGGGCAGCAAATCCTGCTCTATTGACAGACGGCGCATCGCCACATGCCCCTCAGCGCGCAGCCACAGACTCTCGCTTGGCCGTGGCCATGTATGGTAATGTGAAACAAAGACACGGAGCTCACGAGGACCAACGAAGCTGATGCGTCAGCTTGGCGGCTCCTCATAGCTCGGAAGGTTGGGAAGCACTTTTCCATGCCGACATCGGACGACATGTTGCAAAACACTTCTCGAACAGTCGGGTTAGTGGGGCCATGCTGGGCAGGGCAAACCTGTACTTCGAAGCAGGAATCCGATCAGAGGCTCCATAAACGCGACTGGGCTAGCCCCAAGGCCCAAGTCACTCCTCGGGTACCGAGTCCAACTCCGGATCATCCCGGGGTGAGCACTTTGGGGCAGGCCTCAACTGCGTTCCACTGTACTCACTGTACTCCGTGCTCCAAGCCATAGTGGTGCCAAGATGCCCCTGATTGTAGCGCGCGAACTTTATCGCGTGCTGCCTCGCTGTCCCCAAAACATTCAAAGCTCAAGCATGCAGCGCAGGCATGCTGCCATGCCGTGCTGAGGAGAAGGCTCGGTGCTCGGACATACCCATGGCTTCCAGATGGCCTGAACCAGCACAACGGGGAGTGAAGGGAGCGAGGAGTCAACGGGAGTGGGAATGAGGACTGAACAAGGAACGGGAGGAGTGAGGAGTGAATACTGGACAATCTAAGCAAACAGAGATCACTCAGAATTCGGTTTGCTGGATGCGCCACCCACCTATGCTCCTACATGTTGACAGCTTACGCATTCTGCTTTGCGACTCTGCCCCTGTTTGTGACACCAGCCCAGATTCGACCACTACCCACAGAACCTCTGCTCTCAGACTTGATACCCGCTCCTGGCATCAAGCGAGAGACATCCTGACATCGAATACCTCAGTGCCTTGCCGCTTCTTACCGGATCTCTTTTGTTTCACAGATGTCGCTCCCATTCTGTAAGTGTACTCGCAACAGTTCGAACCAACAGTCACTATGCCTTGCAGCATTTGCTACTCTTTTGCATCAAGCTCTAAGGGAATTGCGTTTTGCCGCAGGCTCTTCGGGAATTGCAATTTGCAATTCCCGAGTTCTGCCGTAAGCCACTGGGAAATTGCAATTTGCAGGATGGCGTTTTGCCGCAAGCTATTGGGGAATTGCAATTTGCAGAGTGACGTCTTGCCGCAAGCTATTGGGGAACTGTGATGTACCCGGTGGCGTTTTGCCGCAAGCTTTTGGGAAAATGCAATTTGCAGGGTGACGGTTTGCCGCAAGCTATTGGGGAACTGCAATGTGCACGGTGGCGTTTTGCCGCAAGCTATTGCAGCTATTGGGGAATTGCAATTTGCAGGGTGACGGTTTGCCGCAAGCTATTGGGGAACTGTAACGTGCACGGTGGCGTTTTGCCGCAAGCTGTTGGGGAATTGCAATTTGCAGGGTGACGGTTTGTCGCAATGACGGTTTGCCGCAAGCTATTGAGGAACTGTAATGTGCACGGTGGCGTTTTGCCGCTCCAACAGTAGGAAAAAAAAATTACGGGCCAGACTGCCACGGGGCTCACAACAAAAGCATACAGGCAGCACATCACTCCCTACTCTTCACTCTGTAGCATGTTCTTCAATAGCAAGTCTGCATAGATTGTTTGATTTGGGAGTATGCCACTCTAGAGCCTCCTGGGCGGTGTCATCGGAGACAAGGCAGTGTGATTTCACGCTATTGTGTTGGAGCACGGTTGAACAAGCACGTATTTCTTCGCACGTCTTTTCTCTGCCAGTTGCGCTTAATGGTCACTGTCCGAAGGCCTGATCTGACTGTGTCTCCTGGGCCACAGTGATGCACTCCTGCCCATTGAAGCGCTGAATGCTCGACAGCTACGTCGGGCTCCGTCGTGTATGGCCTGAATGGCTGAGCGCTCAGGAGCTGCGGGGCACATTGCACACATCCAGGAATCCTCAATCGCCGCAGACCGCAGACTTGACAAGATGCCAAAGAGTCTAATAATCCGCAACTGTCATGTTGGGGCCATGGCCCATGCACAGGCATTATGATGCGTTGCATCATGCAGAAGCGAAACCTGCGAGGTCAACATGGCGGAGGCAACCCAAATGCGTGCATCAGGCATACACCATTCTGCAACCGTGCAGCCAACCAAGAGAACACTCCTTCTCTCTTTTTGATGCGGGGATCATGCAGCGATTTCTTGGGCTGTGCTGTTCTCCGACAGATCCAGGGGTTGTAGGCGTGACCTCGGGACTGCGAAGATGCTGCAGGCTGGAGATCAATTGCTCGCACAGCCAAGCCACCGGAGAAGATGAAGACCGACCCTGAAGCTAGCTCTTCATGACGATGACTGACTCAGCTGACACATGTCGAAGTTTCAGCTGAGCTTTGCCGTGCCTCGACGTGCATCTCCAGCAGATCCCGTTGCCAAGCCTCTTCTTCAGCATTCCGGGACTCCAACAGCAGGATCTCCTGGCCCGGTGCTGCTAGCGACATGCAAAGTAGGGCTGCCAGTTTCGAAATCAGGGCTGGAGATCACCTGTCCTCTGCACCGAAGCGCACCGAGGAAGCTTCTGGATCGTAGTGCTTTCTGAGGACGATCTGCAGATGCATAACACGGTTCCTATCCACCTATGTCAGGCGATGCAAACCCACAGACTTCAACACATGGGCAGGGCACTTGTTGTTGACCGTCGCGAGCGCTGGGCAGCTTTTGCTGCTTGGCCTCGCTCACCGAAGACATGTAGCAGTGTAGCAGTGAGAGAACGTGCTTTTGATACCAAAGGCTGCATTGAGTCAGCAGCAACATCACCAAGCCCTGACAGCTCTTTATGTCTTGCAGGCAGGCCGAATACACCACACCTATATCATGATAAAGCACGCAGAGCCTCGATGCCCAAGCGCAAACTTCAATGCGTCAGACCACATGCAAATGTCAAGAGATGCAGCACACGGCAAGGCCAGCATATCAAGCAGAGAAACCCCAGCAAATCAAACGCTTGTTGCTATTCGTGCGAAGCTCGGCTGACACCAATGCAGTGTGATGATCAGTGTGATGCAGTGTCGATGCCAGCCCCTGCCTTTACGAAGGCTCACCAACCTCGATGCAGAGGCATCGCATCGCTTGCATTACATGCTGCAGAATGCATCCCCAGAATCACGAAGCACAGGCACGAGCGTCGTTAAGTCAAGGGGCTTGCGCCTTTTCTGTGTTGCAACTCCTCGAGGTCCAGCCCGGGGCCTCGTGCAGATGCGCTTTCAAGCTTAGCCGAAGCCCAAGCATGCCCTGCCTGGTCGTGTCGCGCGAAGGACGTCTGACCTCTCCAAGCTCATAGTTCTTGTGCTGCCCGAACACGCCTAAACCATCTTAAGCCATCCCCGACCTCGTTCGATTCCTCCATGGTTGCATCTGCAGATTCATGCTTGCGCGAAGCTTTGGCCTGTAGGCTGCAGGCCAGAATAAAAAATCTGGCGTCAATGCAACATCGACTGAGGGCCAGCCGAAAGCAGCATAGGGGCCTTTGCAGAAAAGCGACGACCGCATAATACCCTATGCATAGCCAATGATTGTGCTGCACCTCCTCGACCTCCTCGACAGAATAGTGGTGCCTCGCAACTGTAAGCACGTAGCACAGACACGCGAAGATCGATTACTTCAGCTGGCAGGCTCGTGCAGAACGAAAAACGGGTTCAGGTCTCTCATGCTGCTATGCTCCTGGGACGAAACAGCTCCGACAGCAGAAGTTCATAACGGCTGAAAGCACCTGAAATACCGTGCCTGTTTCACAGCATACTTCTCCATAGATGCGTGGACATTTAGGTGGGAGTGCGCTAATCACAAAGGCCCGAAGTCAACACCATCGGAGTGCACCAGCTCCGAAGGTGCAACATTGCACGCTTGAAGAGTTTTGGAGCTGCCGAGAACTTCGACTTAGCCCCTCGGAACTCGCCCTGTCCAGGTCGAAGGCCCAGGCTCGGAGAGCCCAAGAGCATCGATGAATCAAACCCCAGAGCTAGGCAGAAATGCGCAGGCGGACGACCTCTGCACAAAGAAGCCCGGGGACCCTGCATCAGCCAGCAATGAATCCATCTGGCTCACTTGAACTTGAATTTGAGCTTTCGGCGCTAGAGCCGCTAGAGTCCACACTTGTGGAGAAGCCCCGAACTCGAGCGATTCGGTTGCGGAGCTTTCTTAGTGCCATCCACAGACGACTCACGGCCCGGGCCTCCTAAAAATTCCCAAAGGATCGTCAAGGCCAAACACTAAATCCAATGCAAATAACCCAGGCGTCGCACAAGGCATTGATATGAAAACCTTAACACCTGCATCATAGATGCTTTATGAAAATATGCTCGATCCAGCCCTTGTTGCGGCCTTGCGAAGGTGAGCGATCGCTCCGTGTAAGGCCAACTGGTGGAAGGTAAATCTCGCCACAGAGAAGGAAGGTAGAACCGACACAGGCTGTCAACGGCTACCAACAGAGGGATTTTGCAAGACGCAAACCTGTAATTCGGCTGGCAGTGTCATGCTGTATCGCGATCGGGAGACCATTTCCTAGGAAGTGCTCTCGTCCTGCGCATCTGCAAAGTCTGGACGAGGACGAATGTCCTTTCCAGCCCGGTTGTAGGTACCGAACTCCCCAGACTGGTACATGCCGTGCTTATCGTGCTGAGGGAGCAACACACTCGGTCGATCCCGGCCTCGCATAGCACCACATCCCTCGTAAAGACCTGAAGCTAGGTGCACTTTGTGCTTTTCTGCGCCTCGCGGTCGACGGGCTTGGAACCTGTGGCCTGCAAGATCAATGCAGGGCATTTCGCAGGACAAGCGTGCTGCAGGAGAGGCCTGACTGACATGGGCCGACAGCAAAGGAAAGCATCCGGATTGTCATCATCTTCACCTTTGTGATGGGAGTTGGAAAGAAAGTGCATGCTGGACATACGGAGCAGACAAAAGAAGAGCTTCAGACAGAGATGTGGCGAGCGCAGAGACGGAGAAACAGCCACAACCATAACACGCCTGATTACAAGAACACACGAGATTGCGAGGTCACTGGTTCAGCAGGTGAGACAGTTGTGTGCCGGACTGCAGCGGCGGCGGGGTTGTAGAATCGAGCCTTCAATATATGTTGAAACTTACACGGTGTCGCAATGCAACAAGAAGACTTGCATGAGCTTGGGCTCACACGCGGCCTTCAGCACTTCCTCAGTGCAAGTAGTCTTCTGGGCACTTTACGGGACTCGACATGCTAAGATCCATGCGTGCGGAGGGTTTGATGGGAACCAAACCTGCGCTGGAGGATGCCGCGGGTGCCAGTCCGCTGAATCTGCATGTGCCGAGGGTGGCACTGGCTGTGGCGGCTGCGGCAAGCTCGACCTCGAAGCAAACTCCCAGCCCAATGCGAAGACCTGTCAGCCAGCTAAGGCACCAGGGCCGCGACCCATGTCGCACCTCGGAGCCCGACAAACCCAATCGCAGAATCAGGCCCTACAAGTATGTGCGCAACGTTCTGTTCAGTATGTCAGAAGTCAGAAACACATGGAGCTACGCCAACGTCTAAGTCTTGGGCACCACCTGGAAAGAAAATACCACCCTTGATTTCCCCAGACGTTCTTCTGCAGGTAGCCTTCTCCTGCAAATTACTGTGCGCAAACCGCCATTCGAGGCAACGTAAAAACTTAGGTTCACGGCGCACAGGTCCGGACGAGTCAACAGCAGATGCCTCCTGAACCAGTCAGCGTGTGCACAGTTCGTACAGTTTCTTTCATGTTGACTTTCTTGGTGAATATTTGAAACCGCAAACCAAAGAAGTCAAGTCGCTCGTGCTGCCAAGTCGAGTTCTCTTTGAGGAGCCTATCGGTCTTGATGTTCCTGCTGTGAAGCCTTGGGCTGTAACACAATGCAATGATCACGTGGTAGGACTCCCAGTTTGAGGTCACCATCATTGCGCAGATAGGCAGCAATGCTTCCAAGCAGCTGCCTCTTCAGCCTCTCCTTCTCCTTCTGCTTCTCAGCCACCATGTTCCTGAGCAACAGCCGATCAGCTGCAGGGGTGCCCCTGAATCCTAAGCAGGTGCAACAAGCTCTGTGAAGACCAGGTCAAACTGCAGAACAGGATCGGGGACCACTGTGATGGCTTGGTGATCACCAGGTCTTCCCATTCCCGCTGCTGCCGTTCCATCAATCTGTCACGAACCAGCTGCAGCACAAGGCCAGAGACACACACAGAATGCTTTGGCCGAAGCCCCACCTGGTCAGCTGCCGGCGATGTGGCGCATCATGAACCTCTCATCACTGCAGCTCTGAAAACCTAAGCAGTTGCTCACAGACTAACAGAAGGTGACGTGCCTCACCCTTTGGAGCAGATGGTGCTGTCCTGGCCCTGGCAAACAGTTGTCTCGTTGTGAACGTTGCTGCTTTTGACTTTCAGCTTTTTGGGGGGAGCTGATTTGCTGTTGCTTTTTTGCTGTTTCGCAGTTCCCGCTGTGGTGCGATGCCCGTCCCGGCCGCGTCGGCATGCGTCCGTCAGACCAGCAGGCCGAATCAGCACAAATCCCAAGCCTTGGCACACAAACTTGACGGTACCGTGCGTATTTGGGAGTGTTTGCGCGTGAAAACCGTTCTCTCGCCAGCTCGATTCGCTCGCACCTCCTTCCGGATTTTTGCAAATTAGCCAAAATGTGCAATCCTGCTCCTGCTACAATGCTCTTCGTACTTCGGGGTGCGACTCGTCCTCCCGCCACGAACCCCTGAAATTCCTCCTCCCAAATCATGCTCTTGCCAAAGCGCCATAAAGGTAACTGCGCCGCGTGTTTCGGTCTCTGCAAAACGTGTTCCGGCACAGTCGCGTTTCCGTCCGGAGCCTTGATCCCGCCACAGCCGCGAGTGTTTAGGAGCCTCAGGCGTTTCGCCCGGAAGTCTTGGATATGGGGTGGACGGCATGGACTGCCAGATTCTCCTTCCTGTTCGGGGTCCATGCCGGCACGATACAATTTTACGCTGGTTTTCGGTGGGCTTGTGACTGACAACAGCAGAAGGAGGGGGACCACTTGACAGCTCCCAGCAGGCACATCTGCCAGTCAAGGACTTGCAGCGATTGTAAAACAACAGACGCTGGCGTGTTCTCAGCGGGTACACGAAGAGGCGATGCATACGCTAGAGAACCGATATGTGCCCCAACAGGGCCCCGCATTCGCGCACACGGGATTCGTGCACTGCAGTGGCAGCGAGGATCTGTGAACCAGTGAGAGAGATGCAGTGAAAGCGCCGGATTCGGGTGCCATGGATTCGCGCAGGCATTCCAGGCGTTCACTGCCGTCGCGCACTGGATTCGCACTGCACCTTCCCAGAGCCCTGCCCGTAACGCCCAACCCAGGCCCGACACCAGCCCAAGGGCGCGGTGTAACTCGAGAGTCAATACGTGCGGAATTTCCGACCGGACAGGCGGTCACTTTTTGACAAAGACCTTGTGCCAAACATCAAAAGGACCAATAGGGCAGGGCGAGTGGCAAGGCCAGTGGCCTAAGCGCTGCAATGTCCCGAAATCCCCCGAAGGAGCGCTTCGTTGTCGAATATCCAAAACATAGACCTGAAACCGAAAAGGCATGATTGGTCCCAAAATCCGAAACCCGGAAGGAGTCAGCGGCTGCGAAAACGAGAGTGACTCGGTTCCCGAAGACCACTTTGTTAAGAGGTGCGAACAGTTGCGAACAACAGAACCCAACAGACTCATTGGCTCACCAAACACCAGTGGAAAATCCTATATCCTAATGAATTCTGCAGAAACCTAACCTCCAACGGCAAAACCCCAAAGCCTGAAGGTGTGGTTTTTGTTCCCGAAAAGAATTTGAAGGGGTGAGCGGTTAGGAAAAATCCAAGTCCCACGAAGAGTTGGGTGGTCGCTAGCAGCCAAACCCTCAAAAGGCATGAACGGTGCCGACAAACCAAACCCCAGATGCGCAGACTGGTATTGACTCGCTCACAAAGGCCCTGTAAACCCTAATAGAGTAAGAGGGCAGGCCCAATGCCAATACCCGAAAAAGGAATGAATGCTATTGAATGCTGCAGAAAACCTAGTCTCGTGGGTAAAACCCCAAAATCTAAGCCGGAAAAGCGTGAGCTCGTTCCCATTACAAAGCCCAAACCCATCTGAATGCTGGCCTATAACCAAACCCTTAAAAATTCTAAAACGGCGTGAATGGCTGCGAACAATCAACCCTAAATACACTGACGAGTTCACAAAAGCCCTATAAACCCCGATAGGGTAGTTGGCAAAAACCCAACATCTACACTCAAAAAACTGCAGCAGTCGGAGATTGATATCCTGAACAAGCCAGCCCTACAGATGCCGAACATGCAAGCAACCCAAGCCCTTAAGCCTGGGCCTCAAGCGCACAACTCTAAATTCGAAACACACCGGAAACCCCAAAAGCCCTTAAACCCCAAAACGCAGCACACTGGACTCTCCTCAGATCCTTGCCGCGTGGTACCACAAGCCCTATCGCCCTAAACCCCATGCATATATGCAAAACCTGCACCCTTAAGCCCTAAACCCTACCCCCGTGTCACTCGAGAGGCCTACTCGCGAGCGTCTTTGGGGACAAGCAACGTCTGCCTTCTGCATCCTGGCAGCGGAAGGCGGCCATCGGGCACGGGTGCACGGATGGATACGGATGGGGAAGAGTCTGCCCGCCTCGAGGCCCGTGAGCACCTGGAAAATGCGAGCGCTGAAGCATACACATCCCACTGTGATGATCCGATGTGTCCAACTGGTGCACAACGTCACGACGCTCTGCACCTGTATTGAATCTCCACTTGGGCTCAAAGCCGCTTTCAGGAAGTCTGCACGGCCTGAGTTCCAACATGGAACGCTTGCAAACCTTTATGCGCTTGGACCAAAGCTTCAGGCGCTGCATTCGCGCCACCATTTGAAGTCCAAAACTTGCCATGGCCTGCATCTCTCGTACGAGTTTTGGATAAGTGTTGCATGTCTCAGATTCACCTGCCAAAACATCCCAGGCCGTTGCTTTTTAAATCGCAGGCTCCAAGCTCTGCACCGTCAGCCCAAAGGCATAAAAGGTGAGACAATTCCAGTCGTCAGACGGTGGTCATTGCCAGAGAAGGCGGCCTAAGCTCGTCCGGCACAGAGAGCTGGAGATGTGGAGAGAACCACGAGTTTCCAGTCTGCCATCCAAGGTGCTGTCCCTAGCCAGGCGGCTCATGCGAATCATGGGACCAAGGCATTGAGTCGGTCCAAGATCTACTCAAACGGCAACTCCACTCCTGAGCAAGTGCGTGTGGACATGGACCATGCTGCCATCCGTGCAAGTCAGTCTCGCTGCACAAGCGAACTAGCAGCTTGTGTCAAGGTGCGCATGCTCAACCCGATGGCTTGCACGTTGCCTCCGGACCGCTCCACTGTCAAGTGCCTCATCAGTTCCTCCGTCACCTTGGAGCAGGCACGAAGTGCCGTGCAATCAGTACTGGTCTTCTTCAACATGCCCCAAGCCACCTTCGCAGCAGACTGGGTCTTCACGACTGCTGTGACACTGTCCGCTGAATAGCTGTCTGTGCCCAAGATGTTGATGGAGTATCGCGCTATGAGATTGCCTGCCTGCAGACTTTTTGCAGCTGGCACGGGCGCAAGTGCTCCACTTGGCTACGACGACAAACCGTTGTTGCGGGTTGCTCATGTAAGCATAGGAGCACTCCGCTATCGGTATGTCATGGATGTGCGCAACAAAGTCTTTCGGATCCTGCCTTGTCGCCACCAGATATCGGAGTTCGCAAGATTATCGAAGTCGATTCCGGTTTCACTGAAGCGAGGCTCGCAACTGCCTCAGCGTTTCTAACCGATCTAAATGCTGTCCCTTTGCTTGAGTCGTTGTGCTCCTTCTGTGAAAACAGGCCTTCGCAATCGCGATTTTGACAGCTCCATTGCTCAGGAGCTCGTCAACATGCTCGGCCTCAGATCAGCCATGCGAAGTTGTTCAAGTGTTTCGACCTCGGCCCCCCCCCGACGCAACACCAGCTTAGGGAGCCAAGAATCGCGAAGGGTCAGATTGCCAGCCACCTTTGCCACTACATCTTGTCCGCCCTGCATCCAATCCCGCTTTGAAGCTGCAATCGCCGATCTGGAGCGGTCCTAGTTTGCTCGCTACTCTTGCCAGCAGCGTCACACGCAAGAGCGAGCACAGCCAAGAACATTCCAGTCCGTTGCTTGCCAAGCATCGTAAACATCTAAAGTCGCTTTGAGGTCATCTTTGAGACATGGAGCTGCTTTCGCGGTCTTGTGCTGGTCAGACGGATAGTGCTTCGTAATATCTGCGTGGGAAGGTATGTCGTTGCTCCCACGACCCAAAGCGGGGTCCCAGCCTGCCGACCCGGCGGCCTGTCGAGCAGCCTCTCGAGCTTCCTCGAAGGTGTAGTTGGGAGCCAAGGCAGGCACGGCAGAGTCTCCAGCCGGTTGCAGTCGAAGCTTGCCATCAGAAGTGATCTGTGCTGATGAAGGAGCCAGTGCCCGTGACCCAGGCACAGTTGCACCGGGTGCTGCCGGGGGACACAGTGTCCTGGACAGTGCAGCCAAAGAAAACAACAGAGGCCAAGCCTAAGAGGGCGCCCTTAGCAATGCTGCCTAACGTAACTTACACTTGCCGAGGCCTACAGTAAGCCATTAAGAACGATAGCTGGACAAGGCTCGGATTCGGGGCATTCTCACATTCCCGTGTCTCCAACAAGTCGCGCTTGCACGGCCTTCCGCCATTTCGCTCCTGCATTCTTGCTCGTGTGCGAGCTTGAACACCAGATCCGCACGTGACAGTGCAATAGCCCCAGGGAGACCAATCCGTCAGCACACAATTCACAGGGCACATCTGAGTGTTGCAGTACTCTCCATCTTCGCCGGAATCTGTACAGGGTGTACCTCCATGCTGGGCATCTTGAAGCCTTGCACGAACCCTGTGCCTCCATCCACCATCACAGGACTGGGTACACTCAGTCCATACACCCCAATCATCCCACTTGCAATCACGAGGGCAAAACGACTCGTGACACACCGCCTGCTCTTCGTCTTCTCCGATGCAAGGCAAGCCATCGTTCTTTCTTGTCACCAGGACATCTCTGAAGCGCTTGGTAAGGCCATCGTCGCAATGTGCCGAGCATGCCGTCCACCTGCTCCAGGGACCCCATTCACAGTCCACTGCACAGCCCTCTCTGTTGCACTCCGCTTCCTGCAGAGCAACCCCTTGGCAAGGTAATCCTCCGAAGTCTTCGGTCACGATTCTGCTGCGGGAGCGCGACATGCTTCCCAATTCACAGCTCTTGGAGCAGTCAGACCACGGGGTCCATCAAGACCATTGACAGTCAACAGGACATTCCTGCTGGTTACATGCTTCAATCTTCGTGTCACTGCCATCACAAGATGCACCACCGAACATCTGTGTTGCCCTGGTCCTGTGCTGATACTTCTCTCCGCCGCCACAAGAGACTGAGCATGCAAACCAATCAGACCAAGCCTCCCAGGCACAGTCCACAGGGCATGCCTGGTGCTTGCAGCCGCGCTCCTCCTGGGGAATTCCTTGACAAAGCATTCCACCATGAGCCGCCGAGACTAGCTCTGTTCGGGCACGGAATCTGCGGCCTCCACCACAACTGGATGAGCAGGAGCTCCACTCTGACCACAGGCTCCACATGCAATCTACAGGGCAGGCATTTGAGGCACAGCTTCGCTCGTCATTAAAAGGACCAAGGCAAGCGTCACCCCCGAACTCGCTGTCAGCGTGGATGCCACGGGCCCGAGTCCGAGTCCCGTTGCCACATGTGACTGGGCAGGAAGACCAAGGCCCCCAATCAGAGTAGATGCAGTCCTGGGGACAATTTCCGGCATCGCAGATGGCTTCATCATCAGCCGTTCCATAGCATGCCTGACCTCCGTGCTCCTCGTAGATCCTCCTGGTCCTGTTGCGATTGCTCAGGCCCTGCCCACAGGTGACAGAACACCCATGCCAGTCACTCCAGTCAGACCATTGGCAGTCGACGGGACAATGCTCTTGAAGCACGCACTCTCTGCTTTCAGAGCTTTGGCCGTCACACGGAAGGCCACCATTCTCAGCTGGAGCCTGCACGGATCGATGCCGGGAATTGGTGCCCTGCCCACAGGTCGCTGAACATTCCCAATCACTCCAACCGCCCCACTGGCAGGCAAAGGGACATGGGCCAGCATGGCAGACGCCAGTTTGCGCGGATTCACCTTCACAGGGCAGGCCACCGTTTGCCTCGGCAGTCTTGTAAAGGCGTGCGCGCTGGCCGGTGCCCTCGCCACAGGAAACGGAGCACTTTGTCCAGTCTTGCCAGTCTTCCCACTCGCACTGAATCGGACATGGCTCCTGCTCACATGTCCGGTTCTCCGTCCCACTTCCCGAACACGCCTGACCATTCCCTTCAGCTGGAGTTCTGACAAGCCGGGTACGCATGGTATGGCCGCCTCCACAGGAAGAAGAACAAGCATGCCAATCGCTCCAATCATCCCAGGAACAATCAACTGGGCATGGGTCCATGCTACAATATTTCTTTTCGTACAAATGGTCCTGGCCAGGGCAAGCGCCACCATTCTCAGCTTGTTGCGCGACTGTCCTCTTGCGCTCCATAGATCCGGAACCACAAGTGACCGGGCAAGAAGTCCAGAGAGTCCAATCAGACATCTTGCAATGCACAGGGCAAGGTGCATTGCTGCACTGCCTAGTTTGTTGCGGCTTTCCTTGGCATGCCTCTCCAAAGGAGTTGGCCGGAACCGAGACAGTCCGAGATCTAGTAGAGTTACCATCGCCGCACGATGTGGAGCACTCCTGCCAGCTACCCCAGTCAGACCACTGACAATCAACTGGGCACTGTCCTCCATCGCACACTTTCGATTCCTGTAAACTGTCGCATTCTGCTCCACCGAAACTCGCAGCTTTGCTGATCGTGCGGGTCCGTCTGGTCACACCTGCAAGGGATTACTGTGCTCTTATAGTGTCTGGGAACGGCTTGGCTGCACTGATCCGGACAAAAACATGACTCGTCGAGATCAATCTGTGCAAGCTTCGTGGTTGTGCTGTGCTGCCTTGCTCTCGAAGTTGCTCAATGTCACATTCAGCGCCGGGTGCTGCGAGTAACGGACACAGACACAAGAATTTCTCTACATAAACCGCTTGCCACCGATGGAGCAGGAAACAAGGTAGAGTTGGTTGTCTGAGCTCAGCTCCAATGCTCGACGACATAGTTTGTGGGTTTGCAAAATCATGGACTTTTGAAGTTTTGTGCCGCCGAACGGCGTAAACTGCGGAGTGATGTGCCGTTGCTGCTTGTGCTTCAAGCTTCAGGACCATAATCGTGCCATGATCACCTTCAAACTTCGAGATAACAGTCCTGCCTGCACCACAAGTCACACTGCAGAGGGACCATCTCCCCCAGTCGTCCAGTTCGCAGTCCACAGGGCAGTCTACATGGATGCTGTCTCCTTGTTCGGTGGTTGGCCCTGCACAGCTAGCGCCCAACTCGTTTCCTGGCACGGATACTTGTCGGTGCCGATGCTTTGAAGAGGGACCACAACTTGTAGAGAAAGACCAGTCGCTCCAGTCACTCCACGCGCAATCCACGGGACATGGATCTACATTGCAATCCACCTGGCGCTGAGAATCGCCGACACAGGCCTGTCCTCCAAACCCAGCACCTTTTGAATCTCGAGTCGATAGTGATATCCCCCGCCCACATGTCTGTGAGCAAGATCCCCAGTCGCTCCAGTCGTTCCACGTGCAATCTACTGGGCACTCTCCACTAGTGCAAGACCTCTCCTCCTTCCAATTTCCGTCACACGAGCCCCCGTCTTCGGCAGTGCGCTTTATCTGTCGTGTTCGTAGCGACACGCCACTGCCGCAGGTAAATTGGCAAACGGTCCAATCTTCCCACAACTCCCACTCACAGTCGACAGCATCTGACGTGGCCAGCAAGGCAGAACCTGACTGAAGGCGTGCTTCCGACCGCATGATGGGAGAACCTTGTACAACATCTCGAAGTCGTTGTGCAGTGCTTTTCAGAAGCGTGCTTGGCGACCACCATTCTCTGTGCTCTTTTGATTCTTTGGGCCTGACGGAAATCTCATATGCTTGTCCGCCGGAGACCCAGAGGCAAATCAAGCCGACAAGGGCCCACCACGCAGCGGGACTGCAGCGGGTTGGCATTCTATGGCATAGCCTGAGATATGTAACAGAATCCGCAGACTTGGAAAGGCTGGGAAGTCAAAACCACGAAATGGTTCTGAGCCCGACCGTGACATGCACCAAGAGCCGCAGATGATGTGGAAACAGGTGGAAGATTGGTCATTCTTCTTTAATGCGAGAGCCAAAGCAAATCGCGAAGGGCCTCCCTCAGATCTGTGGGAATGCGATTGCGGGCGTCGGTCAGGTCCATCCGAAAGACAGTCACCTGCTCAGCTACAGAAACATCGCCCTGGTCTCTGCCACGAACCTACGTACGAACCTCCGGACTTGCACAGACAATCGTGAACGGCTCGACATCCGCACCGCCGATCTGAGCACCCAAAAAAAGCATGATATATCACGCAACATAAACTGTGACATAAACACCAGATGCAGGATTCGTGCTGTTGACAAGCCAATGATCTGACCCCTGCCAATTTCGCCAACTTCCTGCAGAAACAGAGGTGCGCTCAACAAGCCAAGGCCAAGCTTCATCTGATGCGGAGAGCTCCTGAGCTCGTCCCTCTCTCGTACGAACCTTGCAGAGGCCATCCTGGCACTCACTTCCAGAAGAAAACACCGCATGTGCGCAGTTGCGGCCGGACCGACCAAACAGGAGTGGTGAACTCGAATGATAGTGAGGCGCTCACACGGCTTCCCAGCCACACACAACCTTAGAGGCCCCAGACATTCTGGCTAACAATTACCATGTAGTATCACCTAGCAACTGAGCTGCGGGCACATGTCCACGCCTCACTTGCTGCTCAGAGAAAAAGCCTCCTAAGACCTGCCAAACTACATTTTGCTTGCAGGTTGTGCAAATTCACTGCAAGTTCTCTCATTTCCTCATCAAACAAACGAAGCCTGTGCATGGTCGACACCGTTCGTTGTCCTCGGCCTCGATTCGGGTGGGTTCTTTCATGCAAGCCAAGGGCAAGGGGACCTAGGGGCACAAGCGAGCCACGCATTCAACTCTTGTGCCAGAAAAAGGCTGACCACCGCGCCGAGGCTGAGCACGCTGCAAATGGTCACGAAGGAAATTCACTCGCGCCTGCTCCTGCACGGATTGAAAGGTCAGAAGACTCCAATATCGATGCAGCGTCAAAGGCACATCCTTTGCCAGGTATGCAGCGCGAAGCTTGCTCTCGAAGAGGGCTTTGCTAATGCAGCCCAGCCTAGGGTCGGTATTCAACATGCCGAGAAAGCCTGACATACTTGCAACCACGGCCTCTTGCGCACACAGACCCTCGTGCTCCTACTCCAAAGGTTCTATGCCATCTTGCCGAACCTAGCCCTTCCGAAAGCAAGAGCATTGCTGGTCTCGTTGGGACTGCTGCTGACATTCTTCGGCAGCAACAATCGACCTTGAAGAACATCCAAATAAAGTTGCAATGATGTGAAGCTGTAAACAGCAAGCATTCAACAAGATTCGAAACCAGTTCAAAGATATGTAAGTCCCAGACGCATTGCGCCGTGCACCGTGCAGGAGTCCAGTCTGAACATACCAGCTATGAGACAGAATATGTGGCCGGTGCTGCGCAGAGTTGGCGGGCAGCCAAGAGTCCAAGAATCTTGACTGTCTGTCTCGGTCGGACTAGTCTGTTTCCCTACGTGTGAAAATGGTCTATCTCGGGTGGTCAAATGAACCCTCGCAGACGGGCAGAATTACCGATGCAGAGAATCCGGAATCTGTGAAACGGACTCGGATCCGAAATCGCGGTCGGGACCGGATCCAGACAGAAACGGCGGTCGGACCGGCCCTGACTGACTAAATGGTGAACCATGAAACATAAATATGAAACATAAATACTGCAAGCTACGGACAACGGACCTCTACCGGTTGAGTTGGGTCGGAAGTCCAAAACTAGAAGAAGGCACGGACGGAGTGCAGTGCTGGGCCACCGTAGGCTCTTGTAGGCGGAGAAAGGGGGACGGCGGGGAAAGCGAAAATGCAAGCGACCGTTGCGAGCCAACGGCTGCCGGCGGTCGGTATGCCGCTGCGTCCTAAAACCCACCCAACACACCCGAATTAACTCGGTACCGCTCAGTCGGACTAGTCTGTTTCCCTACTTGTGAAGATGGTCTGTCTCGGGTGGTCAACGCTCGAAGACGGACAGAATCCCTTTGGTACCGATGCCGAGAATCCGGAGTCTGAAACGGACTCGGTGAAAGATCCGAAATCGCGATCGGGGACCAGATCCAGACAGAAAGGGCGGTCGGACCAAGTAACATCAAGCCAGAGGAACATCAAGCAACGGCATCAAAGGCCAGGTATCCCCGAAAGAAGTCGGCGGACGGGAACAGCTGATGCTGCTGCGGACCGGAAAGCAGGGACCGGTCCACAGTGACTGCCTGCAGATCCTGCAGGGATGAGAATCCCAAGTCGGACGGATTGGCAGAGCGGGTGAGGCTGAGGGCGTCCGAAACATGGTTTGAGATGCCTGGAACATGGTCAATGTGGACGGAGATCCGGAGTCGTTCCTGAAGGGGGAAAACGGACCGGAGTGCAGAGCATATAGGCTTATGAACAAGTATTGCTGGTATTTTCTATAAACACCTAAGTAATTAAAAAGTGAAACAAAAGTACAAAATCTGAGAAAGGTGAAGAAAAGGTAACACAGCAAGAGAAACCTAGCCCTAGCCCAGACCCGGCTGATGCTCATGATGCTCGTTTCTGGTGGGGGCTGGTTGCTTACGCTCTTCGATTTGTGGTGCCCCAAACCCGGCCGATGCTCATGATGCTCGTTTCTGGTGGGCTGGTTGCTTACGCTCTTCGATTTGTGGTGCCTGTAGCCAACAACATGCGGGGTCCCAAACACCTTTATTTTACCTCCTCCCGAAGAGGTCAGCTTTTGTTTACCTTCGTTTTACCTTTTCAAATATTTCTGTTGCGATAGAAAATACCAAATAATTTTTCATACATATAGGCCCTTGAGGCGGAATTGTCGGACCGGAAAACGATGTGAACAGGCGAGTGCCCCGGGACCAAGAGAAGGTCATGTAGCAGGAGGAACAGAGCTTCCTGGGCGGCCAGTTCCCACGCGGAAATGAAGGACTGCAGTGGTGAATCGTGCGGAATCCAAGGAATAATTCCAGCATCTGAGCGCGGGAAAACGTGCTCTGGAAAAAGAGCTGCCGGGTGTCCAGTAGACGAAGAAAGCCACCCAAGCCCACGGACTCAGAGTCAGTGCAGGCGTCGGCAAAGGCGGTGTGCCCGAAAAAGTGAGGGAAGAGTGAGAGAACGCAGATCGGAACCGGACGTGACGAAATCCAGCCACATGCGGACCACCTCGCGCGACTAATCGGAAAGCCGACAAGAGGCACCGGAGGGGGAACAAGACTGTGTCCAGATGCGGCGCGCCTCGGGAATCACACGGAGCAAGTTGGATCTGGATGACAGTCACGTCTGCCCGACACGCAGGAGATTGGCGTCCACACAGTCACATAAGCACTGCCACACACAGGCGAGACGGCGTTGAGCACCGGAGTAAAGGAATGCTGGTCCGAATACTGCAGGGGTGCCAAAGAGGAACGGAAACAGTAGAACAGGGACGAAAGCCAAAGCAGCTTCCCAGTAAGGCGTTCCAAGTCTCAGACGGAACAATCAGTGTTGGCAAGTTGGCAAGGACCGACTTGGCCAGAACGATCATACGGGTGACCTTGGACAGATCCAGGCGTACCGTGAAACAGGTGAAGTCCAGCTGCCACCCGATCGTCACAAGGGTAGGGGCAAGAGACCTTTTTTTGCCAGCTCCTAGGAACTTTGAGGCAAAGCATAAGGATGACAATGGCGGTGGCATCAACGTATAAGACCGGAAAGGCGGACCCGGACGAGACGTTTTAGCAAACGGAGCAAAAGTCCAGCTGCGCGCACGGTAAAAGCTGGAGACACGAGCACCGAAGTTGAGAGTGAGACACTGGAAAGACGGCCCCGGTGTCTGAAAGACAGCAGGCCGCGGTCGCAAGGGCGTATGAGCACTCGACGGTGCGCTTGGCAAAATTAAGCACCAAGGAGACCAAATTATCATGAGAGTCAGAAAGGGGAACGCAACGGCGAACATCCATCAGGGACAGGTTGGATGAGCGATTGGGAAGGTGAGTTTTGGAAACACTTTGGAAACGGACGAGTCGACCACTCAGCGGGGCGGGCGGTCTGGAGCCAGGACAACACCAAGCTTGCCGACTGCGGTGTGTTGGTACCGTTGCTTCATGGCCGTGTCCCCGCCCTCAACTTCAGCAATCCACCCAGCGTCCAACTCGGCTTGCAAAAGCTCGTCGACCGCCTCAGCATTGTCGATCGCGGCAGGTGCAAGTCATCCGAGTCCGGATCGGCACAAAGCAGAGAAAGGGCGTGCCAGAGATTGAGCCGGAACGGCTGGCCGTCACGGACGGACATCCAGGAAGACCAGATAGAATCAGAATCCACATGCAGAAATGCAGGAAGATCGGAAAGGAATGGCTCCAATTAGGACTCGGAAAGAGGGTCAGATTTAGGCCGCGAAAATAGGCGCGAAGCTATGGGCTTATGAAGACAAACGGCAAACCCAAGTATTGCACAAGGGACCAGAATGTCCGACAGGGTCGGGGGGAAATTGGTATGCGGAACTGCAGAGGCCAGCACCAGCTCCTATTCTACACGACGCATGCGGCCAACACGGTTCCTGCGACAACAGAGAAGTTCAAGACCGCACAGAGTGAGGGACGGTACTGTCGTCCAAGAACGGAGCAGCCAACTCTAGCGCAAGAGAGTCAGGACAACGAGCAGTGTGGCGGCTAAGAAAAGACCCGTCGGAACCGCGGCGTCCGGAGAGGGACGAGTGAAACCCCAGTGGCCAAGGGCAAACCGACGCAATGGCCTGAACGGCGACTTGTGATTGGAGACAAAGGTCCAAGCTTCGTGCACAGACAGGGAGCGCGCACCCGTAGCCACGGTCGACGCGAACGGGTCAGGTCATGAACACGGCACCAGGCCATGACCTCCGGGTCAAGCCATAGAAGACTGGTCCTCCAACCAAATGAGGCCACGAGGCCATTTGGCCATTTCTCGTGGACACCAGAACCAACAATTCACGGCAACGGACATGAATGATGGACGACCACGCAAGCTCATCGGACTGCGCAGAGGACAATAGTCTGGCCGGCCGCACGGGTGAGAAAGGGTGTGCACGTGCGGAGGCCTGGACGGAGACGGGACCGAGAGAACGCTGCACAAGGAGGGGCTGCACCGGTAGCACCCACCAAGCCAGAGGCACATAAGCGCTGAAGAAATGCGAACGTGTCATCGTCAAGAAAATCTATCTTTTCACCGGATAGCAAGTCCACCGGACGGAAACAGAGTTTCTGAAGACCGGCCAGGGCGGCAGAGACCGGAGCATCGGCGCCCGCACACAAGTCCACGAAAAGGCGAGCTGGGGGAATACGGAACGGCGGGGCAACCACGGCAGCTTCCAGTGAAGGAGTCGCTGCCAACGGCGCGAGCGGTTGGTTAGGCAACGGAGAACGCGCCACCGTGGCAGGAAGAGGATCGGAATCCTTAGATGCAGTCTCGGCACAAAGGTCCAGAGATGGTCAGCTCAGCGGCGGTGTGAGGCTGGCCACAGGGCTTGCCGGTCGGCAGGGGCACCGGGCAACCGTGAAAATATTTGCACGATGGGTTAGTACACTTACAGAGGGCAAATTTCATGCAAGCCTCCTTCAAACCCGGAAAATGTCCGGGTTGGAGGTAGACTTGGCTTTGGCTTTGCCTTCAGGGCAAGCCTGGGCACCTTCAGCAGACGGAGTGGAGGCATTCGCGCTGTCCAGGCGTTGTCTGTGTCTGACAGGCTATGACATACGAACAATATGAGGGGCCTGAGAGGGCCGTACTGTTCGTTGTAAACGGCCTGGTTCATACAAATCATATAATGGTATCGAGGCATACGGAGACTCTGAACGTGACAGCAGAGATGATGCTCTCGCTTCCTCTCGATGTCCCTCTTCTCGCTCTTGGCGATGTTGAAAGTGAAATGATAATTTGCCATGGCTCAGGACGCAATTCAAAGGTTGTGGCACAAGAATGCTAACTGATTGAATGATGATGAGACTACTCCTGAGCTCCTAGGCTGGGGTCTTTCAAGGAGCTGTCCAGCCAAGGGTACAACATCAGTCTTTCTTTGAATGTAACCTCAAGGGTTGCTCGTACGAGCTTGAACCAGGGCAGTGGTTCTTCCAGCCGGAAACATGTCAATTTGGGCCTCATTCTTGCGGGATCTGCAGGGACTAAAGGCTCATGCACCAGAAAAGAACAGATGTAGTCAAGGTGTACCAAAATTCCAGTTCCCCCTGCTGACCGGGAGTCCGACAGCGCTTTGGCAGAATTACCGTCGGGAAAAAAACTTGCAGACCAGTCCTCCTTACTTAGACGGATGCTGTTTGTGCTAGTTCATTGGTTACATCATTTTATGCAATCACTTTTAAGGCTTGGCATATATGCAATCACTTTTAAGGCCACTGTAAACCAACAGTTTTAAGGGCACAATTTGAGCGGCCATTTCTTAGCAGGTACGCGAAGAAGGCGTCCTTCCTGCATATCACAACAAATTTGGACGGCGTGTGTTAGGCTCGCTGCGCCCCTGCTTTTCTGAGCACTAATGCCATTTACATCCTTCGAAACAGGAGTCGCAACAGAGCAACTATTTCTCTGAGCTCAAATGCCTGATAGTCTTGGGAGGAGGATTGGCGATTGTAGATTGCATTATACAGTCTGAGAGCAGGCTGCTCTGCCGTATGCTGTGAGTCTCGACTTGTCTCCGGTTTCTCTCCAATTCGGAACCCTCCGCCTCATTTTGGAAATGTCACCGTGCACAGCGTCAGACACATTTGTCGTCTCAAACAGCTCCACTACGATCCTGATGCGGACAATGCACAGTGACCTCAAATCCCGACCATCGCTTTTCCAGCTTCCCTCAGAATTTTCTGCGGCACGGCCCTGCCGTAGCCGAGTAGCAAAGTTTGGAAACAGTCCGTACACGGAGCAGAAAACCGATGCGAACGCATGTCTCTCCAACCCTCGCCTCGCCGAAGCAATCTCCTTCTTTAAGCTCCTGGTGTCCGAGGCGGTTTTCTCGCTTTTTTTCTGAACTTCGAACCGGCTTCGAACGAGCCTTCACCTGGGTTGCATTGATGGGGCCACCTGTTTCCTGCGCGTGACGTGTTCGCTCAACTACGCACAGCTTAGCAGGCTTAGCAGCCTAGCATTTGGGCCCTGGCTGGATCAACTTCCGAGTTTGGGTCCTCGGCGACTGTCGGGACATGTCGGACGTTGCCCTGGCATGCAGGCTCCTGCGACTCCGCAGCGGGCTGCTTGCCTGAAGGATCACGTCTCAGGTAGCAGTCGCCGGTGGCTGTCGCAAATCTTGCAGTTACCACGTTGCACCCGTTGATGCCTTGAGGTGCTGGATCATCGACGGCTCGCCTGCACAGCGAAGATGAACCGAAAGAAACCGAGAAATGAGTTTGTTGACCGGCACGACACCTTGCCACGAGCAACTTGACAGCTGCCTGCAACACTTCGAGATAAAGCCGACTGCCGAACCGACGGTTGCCTGTAAAATCTAGGCAATGAAGAAAGCCCGTCCTTTTGCAGCTTTCTGGCGTGGACGGAGCTTGGCTGAACTTCTGTCTCCTGACATGCCAGGTAAGAGCAAGAAGCGTGCGGCCATGGAAATGATTTACATGTAGATATGCTGTCTTGGCGCCAGTCCAGATTGATTAGGCTTTAAGCATGAAGTGACGAAATCCTTCAGAGCTTCTTTTCCATGTTGTTGTATGCTGTCTCTGCAGTTGAATAATAATATTCTCTGACATATTCGAGAAAAGTACGGAAAGCAAAGACAAGCTGACGGCATCGGGAACTGAGATGCTGCCAGTGGTTACCTCTCGCCACAAACTCACAGAGCCCTTGAAAGCCAGCGAGTGTGAAAGACCCAAAGCCTTAAACACTGATAACTACCCGTAGTACTGCCAGGACTCATCTACAGCGAGCACTAGCACGACCCGGCAGCATGTGAGTCTCTGGTTCAAAGGCAGGAAACAAAATTTGAAATAGAGGCAACTTAGAATCGGGATGGAAAACTGGTCTGGCGCATGCCGCGTGGGCACTTTGCATGCCATGGACGGGGATTGGCAAAGAGCGTTGGCGCACCTCCAGTCGACTGGTTCATGCCTAGCCTTGCGAACATCGCGAGCCCAGTCCGATCAGGCTTCATGTCTTGACGGGGCAACCATGCAGACACGCCACGCACGCAGAGACGAACGTGGATGCCTTCTCTGCAGCCTGCGGCATGGACTTTGTCGTTTTCGGTGAAGCATCTTGCTCGTCATCCTGTCAGTCATGCCAACAGGGCTTCACACGGCACGATGTGTGAAGATCTCGTTTCCAGCCTTCGTCCTTGCCGGGCTCTCAGGTTCTTCCTTTGCCTCCTTTACACTCTGGAAGCAGGGCTTGACACCGAACGGCTACGCACGAGCCTCTTCTTCAATGAGTTCGTCTTGCCGACTCACCCATATTCCCACAGCGCCCTTCAAAAGGATGTAGCACCTAAGAGGGCAGGAGCAGAACAGCAAGAAACGGTCCAACAACAGAGGTAGTCCCTGTTCCTGTCTCTGTGTGCACGCTTGCTCGCGTTGTACCGGCTGCCTCAAAAAAACCCAGGTCAAGCCAGGAACCCAAAAACCCAACCGAAGAAAGTGATACAAGAATTGAAAGGTGCGATTTTGTTTTGTCGCATCTGGCAGTCTTCGAGTGGCAGCCGATGCAGTCGCCTCCTGAGCACCGCACACGCTCCCCGCCGTCCACGACTCCCCTGCGGAGCGCCCGTTGGAGATCCCCCCAATATCGCGAGTTTTGCCTTCCGGCCGTTCCTCTCTGACCGTCCGCCCTCCTGCCATTGCTCCGCATGACCCTCCCGACACAACCCCTGCTGACCCCACCCCTCCGGTCTTTCCAGTACCTGCATCCAAGTCCGTCCACCGTCTGGTCTTCTAAACTTTAGATTCTAAACCTCTTCCGTTCAGACAGGATCCGACATCCCTCACCTCGCTTTGGAAGAGCCCTAAACGAGAAGCCAACCCCGCGGAGGTTTTCGGGAATAACCGATCTCCTCCGCGCGTTCCCCACCCAAACTGGGAAAGCCGGCATGTCGGCAACATCACCCTGCTTGATGATGACCTGATGCCTGGGAGACGGCCAGGAGAGGCGCTTCCCTTCTGCCGTGGGCGCCGAGTTCAAGGCCGCTTCACCTCCTCGTAGGACCTGGGCAAAGCAGTGCAAAGTGCAAAGAAGAAGTCGGAAGCAACACTATGGAAATAGCACAATAGACATCAAATATTTGAGCTTCTGGGACTCTGGCATGCTTCGACAAATCTCCCTCAAAACCGACTCCTCTCGGGCGCGGGGAATCTCCGACCACCCTCCACACTCCACGACGCGCTGCTCCCATTCACTTTGGCTTCCTCCTGCTCGTCGAAAAACTTATTGCCGTGGAACAACTTCGCGAGCAAGGCCTGTTCTACAGACTCAGTTGTCAGAGAACAGGTCGATGTCTGCAGCATGCAAGTTTTGTCAATCTCATTCAATGTCGAGGAGCCACATCTTCTGGACTGCGCTGTTCCGGAGCCTTTCAAACATGACTCTCATTGGCGTTTGCTTTGCTCTGCACACACCTTGAACCGCAAGGTCTGGATGGCACGGCCCCGGTCCGTAGACGCTCGATCGGTTGCTTTGTCTGGCGGGACAGGCATCAGCGGGCATCGGGTGGATCGAAGGAGTCCGCCTCCACCGATGGCAATGATGGACCCCCGACCCTGCACACGACCAATCATCCACACGTGAAGTCCACGGCCACGCCCACATACGCCCAGGCCCTCTCCTGCGGAAGATGGCTCCGATCGAGCCAGAAGAGGCCTCGGATCTTTTTGCGTTTACATGAACTCGTGCACATCACCCACATTGAGCTGAGTGACTGCAATCCCTGGCCCTCAGACACGTCTCAAGCTCTCATGATTGAGCAGTTGCGGAGCTTTGCAGAGCTTGCTGAAGCTTGCCGAAGCTTGCAGCTCAGGCCCGAGCGCGAGAATGCTGAATTCACCGGACATGCCAAACTGCGGGGCTTTTGCAGCTGCAAGCAGGCCTAAGGGTTCTATGGAGTTCTTTGTGAAAGATGTTTCACTGTCGAAGCCGGCCTCCTCACCTAGCCATGACCCCGCAGATAAACTGCAGACATGAACCTGTCACATCCACACATCTGCCATTGCAGGTATCGCAGCTCCCGGCAGTTGAAGCCTGCTGGTCACCCTCTCGCACAAGCACACTGACCTGGAACTGTACCAAAATGGCTCCAACACAGCTTGGAACTCAAAGATGTCCGCACGCCTTGCCATGGAGAATGCAACAGCTGCACTGCAAGCTGAATGGGATGGCCTGTTCATCAGATACTGTTACAGCTCTTCCAGAGGAACATCTGTCACCAGCAAGCCTCTCCGGCACTCATTTTGCGCAGCTCCGCGAACTCACTGATTTCCAGTCTTGCAAATGAGTCCACTGTGCTGAACTGCACCTGCCTGACAGGTTCAGCAAAAATGCAGGACATGACAAACTATCCATGAATGCAAAATCAAACCACGTCCCCCTTCACAGTTCGGCGCAAACTGCCAAGGCACACTGACGAAAATGCTTTCTAAACACAACAGTCCGCAAAGATCTGATGCTGCTTATTCTTCTGCTGGCACACGGGACTCTAGGGATTCTTCTCAAGCCAATGCTCTCCTCGGCGGGATCAACACCTTCCGTGCCAGTGTTCCGATTGTCATTGCCTGTGTCAGCGAATTTGAGATTTGTTAGCTTGCAGGTGTAATAACTGGTTTGTGGATTTGACAAGGTTTCAGCTTTCGCCTCAACATCAATTTCGGTGACAGAAAACGAGCAAAGCCCTCTGCCGAGGTGTCAGCAGACCTTAGACGATTAGAGACGCTCATGGCAATGCAAATTACGAGACCACGCCCGAGACGCCGAATAGCGTGGCCCTGCCACGGCCTTGGAGAGTCTGGACGACCAAAACCCAGGCGCCACCGCGGCCGACCCCGAAATGCGCACCGCAACTTGGCTAGAGCCCGATACAGGAAGCGGAAAACCACCAGAAGGCGGAGGAGCTGCCTAAGTATGACTTTCGCGGTATCAGAATTTAGAGAGGGGTGCTTTTGGCGAGTCCCGGGTGGCGGTAGAGGCGCATAGCGATCATATGGAAGCGTGTGACAACATCCCCTTATTTTTCCCATGTCAGCATGTCCCAAGCTGTTGTGTTTGCCCACAGGGAGAATTTACCATCAAAAGGTCCACTGCTTTTGAAGCCACGAAAAACAGCTGCGAGTTGCCCTCCATACCTAATACCACTGCGACGGTGATATGTAGGGTGCGGACTGCATCTAGACCACGCCGCGCCATCCATGACACATTCAATTCGTGCAAATCTGGCGGGCATTCTCTTCGGGTTGCCTCTCCAAGAAGCTCGACAGGAGCTGCAGCTGTGTGAATGTCCTTCAATCAAAACTCTTCAGCACGTTCCTGAACATCTTCAGATCACTCACAAGAGGCCTGGCTCCGAAGGGAATTTGAAGCGCCTTCTCAATCTCCGGAACTCGGGGATCAGTGACCTTTTGCGGATCTTGCTGCAACCGTGCGAACATGCACCGCAAAACCAATAAAGCTCTGCGGAGGCACCTCCGACAATTGCAATCCAGCCTGCAATACCATTCTGTGCTCCATGCTGTCTCCAAGTTCATGCTCAGACCCTGAGAGTCCTCGAAACTCTGCCTGGAAACCTGCCATGCGACTTTGATACGGTCAAGACCTTAGCCTCAGGCTCATGGCACCTCGTAGAGCAAGCAGTCCTCGCCTCCTGCGCAATAGCGGGAGGCCCAACCTCAGTGGACTCAGCCGCTGAAAAGGGGCTGCAGCCCACACACAGCGCCCTAAGAAGCGGCCGAGAGTCGCGCCCGGCTCCGGGCTGTCAGTGCAAAGCATCTTATCACCGAAGACGACTCCTCGCAGTTCTCGCAGCTTCACTGCATTCTCTGGATCGAAGAGAGTTGTTCCGTGGGTCATCATAGTGGGATTCGGCGAACCCTGCCCGAGTTCGTCGCATGGTCGCTACCCTCGCTTCGACTGCAAAGACCCCCTACCATTCCACAGAAACGAAACAAGGAGACCAGCAGCACCTAGCAACAGGTTCTCGCCTGGCAGAAGACGTCGCCTCTCCTTCAGGGTGCAATCATTTTCGGAAGCAACCTCACTCTTCGGTTCTCCCGCTCCGTTCCAGGAAGGCTGAGCCTGAGCCGACAAACGACCAAGAGATTCACCCACGTACAACGAATCGTTGCAATCAGAGACTCGCGTCGAGGTGCTCTTAAACTGCTTTGCTGCACATGAGTGCTACACAGCTACTGTGATCGCAAAACTTGTGCCTGTCACCGCTGCACTGATGCATCGCTTGATTTTTTTGTCGTGATATTAAGACGACGGCTCGAGCTCGCCACTGATCAACAAGTAGCACGCATGCAAGGTGTCTTCCTGACCGACAGCACACACAGCACACAAACTATGAAAGGAACCTGCATTGATCTGCATTCCGACTCCGCTCCCAATGCCTCACGACAGAGCCAGCTCCGTGATGGCAGCTTGCGAAGTGCACCGCTGCAAAGAATTCTCTGACGAACATCACGCCTTCACGGGAACTTCTGCAGTTGAAGCACACAGCAGCTGACGGCGAATTGCACGCCACCATACCAAGAGACCGGAACCCACAAGAAAAATCCCAGATCTGGGATCTGAACGGAAGTGCTCGCATGATCGGACTTCGTGCTAGTGGCGTCTCCTCTGCAGAACTGCTGGGATGCCCTGTAAAGTCTGGCTGCGGTGTGCCAATGCCTCGAGCCACCAAAGATCTTGACTCAATACGTCCGGTGGGGTCAGGACACGCCCCAAGAATGCCATGACCTGCGGCGGTCCGATGCATCTCACGAAGCCGTCGGGAATTGCCGCATCAAGTTGCCAAGGACTATCCTGTGGCATTCCCGTTGGTGGAGACAACAACTGACCTCCAAGACAATGCCCACACGATGGTGCTGGACCTTTGAATGCAGGAACAATCGAACCGTAGTAGAAAAGTGCTGAACTGCTCTGCACGAATATCTCTTGGGAGGCTCGAGCATGACGCTGGTAATCTGCCTTCGAGAGAGAGAAAGCCTGGCAGCACGTGACAGCATGTTGGAGCCATCTTCGACTGGCCAGAGGCCACACCTTCCCACGGCGTATCGCGACAAGACTGACCTTTGCAGCTGGTGCCGACATTGGGACACCGCACCAGACAGTCCCCAGCATGCAAAAAACATTCATTGCCTGGGCTGGACTGAACGGCAGCTTAGGTGACGACATTGCATGGGCATGAAGCTGCCATGGCCCACCTTGCGGAACTGTGGACTGCGGAGCTGGTGACTTGGAGGGTACAGGATCCCCACTCACTGTGAGGTACTACATCGTCCTTGTCACCACACGCTTGCAAAAGGCAAAGTTGTCCACACTACCAGTATGTGTCCTTGTCAGTGACATCAACGCAAATCCAAAACTCGCGGCCTGCATCAACTTGAGAGGACAGAGTATGACGCTGTGACATTCTCAACCAATGTGTGCCTCGGCTTTGGCTCTTCCGTGGAGACACAGAGAGACGCTTTGGAAGCGACTCATATCCCTGGCAAACCATGGAGTCTCCTGCATCTCTTCATGCAACCAATAAACGGTCCTGAAGCACTCCACGAGCCCGCTGGATTGCTTCCTCGGGCTCCATGTCGGCCAAGTCTAGACTGCACCAAGGTCTACTTTATTATTGTCGATTAGTGTTAGTATGACTATGACTATGGTTAATCTTAGGTTTACTATTGAATTAGTCTTATTATTGTTCTTATTACTGTTATTCGTTATTACTATGACTATGACTGTTACTGCTACTATTACGATTACTATTGCTATTGTTATTGCTCTTACTACTACTATGACTATTTATTATTACTATGACTATTAGTACTATTATTATGATTCTTATTGCTATTGCTATTCTTCTTATATCAGTATTATGATTGTTAATTCGTTGCAGATGGCTCAACAAACAAACTCTGCAACAAGCAGGACGATTGAGACACAGACTTCGCTGAGGCGAGCGTGCGCAGAAGCGACTTTTCCTCCAGAAACTCTCTCTCCACATTCCGTTGTGCATCGACGCCCTTCGGATGCCGCCTTCTGGCATCCGACGCCAGGCACTGACGACCTGGCATGCCCGCGGTGCAAAACTCAATTCCATCAGCAACTGGAGCGCGCCGATGAAAGCGGAAGCAGCATGTCAGTCGGCTTCTCGCCATGACTGGTAAGAACCTCAAACGCAGGCGACTGGTCATCAAGAATGCGATGGAGATTCATAAGCTCGCGAAGTTGGGAGGTAAGAGTAATTTCTGTACACCGCGTTGGCCGCATTGAAATCTTTCTCGCAGCGTGTTGCGCAGACAATACCAGCCACCCTGCTAGAACCATATATTCGTGACACGTGGAGGCCGACACAAGGGTTGCTAGAAAACCCCGAATGTGCTGCTGCTGTCCATCGATATGGTCCACTTGACACGCTTCGATCCAGCAAGGCTTTTGCGCTATCCATTGTATGATGCCTCGCAGCACAACCGTCGTGGTGCATGAAGCTGCTCCAGCAAAGTTCGTGTTCTGTTGTTTGAAATTGGGCAATGTCAAAGTGGCGTGAAACATCGTGAAACTCACGAGGACGCTGCTTCTAACATCCACCGTCCGAATGGTTGTTCGATTTCACCAGATTTTAATCGCCACCCCAAAGCACACACTTGGAACAATCTGCATGCACCCCCGCCTTTTGCGTTCCAAGCATGATCCGTAGCAAGATAGCAGCATCTGCCCAGCCTCGTTTTGCTGAACATCCCGAAGCTCCAGAGCAAATGCGACCTTGTTTTGTGACATGTCAAGCCTGCTCCAACACGCTGCAAAGTCTGTAAAGCACCTCTGTTCCAAGCCGCCAGCTGCTTCAAGGGTCTCGCTGGACATTCGTGAGAGCATAGGTACATGCCTGCCAATGTGTCGAACAGGGTAGCTGAAATTGTGCAAATAGAAAATTAACAGAACACTGAATCGATCCAACTTTTGACGCGCGACTGTCACGATCTAAAAGACTTGATGGCTTCGCACTCCTACTCCTGCTCTTCCTACAATTACCCCCGCTCCGACTCCTACTCCTACTCCTTCTTCTTCTTCTACTACTACTACTACTACCACCACCACCACTACTCCTACTCCTACTCCTACTACTACTACTACCACCACTACTCCTACTACTATTACTACTACTACTACTACTACTACTACAACTATAACTACTACTACTACTACTACTATTACTACTACT